GTCACAGCATGGACCACAGACTCCTCCATCGGGGGCCCCACGGAGGCTGGGCCTGGGGGAAAGGATGAGTATTCAGAGACAGACAGCAAGAGACACAGCCAAGGGTCACACACGAAGATGACTGTGAGGACGCTGAGAGAGGAGAAGAACAGAGTCAAAGGGGACCAAGGGCAGCACAGACAGACAGAAGACAGGGGGACAGGCCGAGCCAGAGACTCCGACACAGATGATGAGGAAAAAGGCGGGAAGAAAAAGACACGGGAAAACCAAACGTGGAACAAAGCTCAAAATCACAAAGAAGACCAGCCTCACTGGTCTGAAAGAGACTGGTGAAACCCCCAAGACTATGCCCCTAGAATTAAACTCACTCCCGTGGCCTAACAACAGACAGGCCTGCAGAGCAGAACCCCCACCCCAGGGAGAGGCATTCTTTAGCACAATCAGCCTCAGGCAGGCGGCATTTCCACAGGCAGAGACCTGGGGAGGCGGGAATGCACAGGCAAGAAGGCCAGAGGGAAAAGGTAACCACAGGGAGCAAGCGGGAGGTGAGATGACACACTGTGGGGAACGAACCGGTGTCACAGACAAGACGTGTATCAGCCGTTGAATGTAAAATGAACCTGCTTTGTAAAATTTCACCCAATCACAATAGATAAAAAAATAATAATCAAAAAAGAGATACAGGAAAACCGAGTGAAAGGGAGGACAAAGAGACAGAGTAATGAAGCAGCAAATCCAGAGGAAGGGAGCGAGATGCAGGTCAGAGAACGGCAAAAAGAAAGAGAGACAGGCCTGGCAACATGCAGCCAATTGCTCACAATGGTGAGTGACATCAAACTAGAGATACTGGTATAAACCCGCTTCCAGTCCATGGACAGCGAGACAGGAAAGAGACACCTCCACAGACAACATGCTTGTCTCTAGAGAACAGGATTATGGGTGATTTTTGTTCTCCCTATTTTACAGGTTATATATAAGTATTAGGAGCTCTGGTAGCATAGTGGCTAAAGCACTTGACTGCTAACCAGAAGGCTGGCGGTTCAAACCCACCAGCCACTCCTCGGAAGGAAGGTTGGGCAATCCTACTTCCGTAGTGATACTGCCTCGGAAACCCAAGGAGGGGTCGCTATGAGTCGGGGCCGACTCGACGGCACATAACAACAACAACAACATATAAGTATTATTACTATTTTTATAATCAGAATGACAAAATAATCTTTTATAAGAAAATAACAAAAGGAAAAAAAAAACAAACAGGGAAAGAGTACGTCTCCACGGCATTTAGATACCACGGAAGGACCGGAAGGAGGCAGGGGCTTTGCCGGTGGGTCGGAAGGAGCCCTAAGTGACTCCTAGGGATAGAGGGCTCTGGGGGGGCTCCTCCTGGCTGTCCCCAGGCCTCCTAGGACAGTGACAAGGACTCACGGGTGAGGTCAGGCAGGAGCCAGGCGTTGCAGTTGACCTGGTAGAGCAGAACATCGCTGCTGAACTCGTCAGGGTCCGAACGCCCCCCCAGGACCACCATGGTGTCCCCCAGTAAGGCTGAGGCGTGGAAAAGTCGCGGGCGGGGCTATTGGGGAGACACATGCCAGGGTGGCTGTCAGAGCCCACAGCTCTCCTGTCTTCTTGGTCCCTCTTGGCCCACCATCACCCCTGCATCTCCCTGTGCCCCTCCCCCAGCCCACCTAATCCAAAACATCCTCAAATCTCTCCTCCTCCAGGAAGCCCCCCTTCTCCCCGAGAAGAGCCCACAGAGCTGCCTTCCTTCCCCAGAGCCCCCACGGCCTGAGCTGCTCCCTGGAAATTCAGCATATGCTGCTTCAGGTGAGCCGCCCACAGGTCTCCCTTGAGTCCCATCTCACCAGCTGGGCCAGGAGTGCCCTGGGAGTAAGGCTCACAGACCTTATTTCCATCTCCCTCTTGGTCCAGACAAGAGGGGCTTGCAAATGGTTTTTTTTGGGGGGTTCCATGGCTTCCCACATATTGTCCTGCCTTTGGCCTTGTAAGGCAAGAAGCACAAGGAACCTTAGTCCCCGTTTTTATAGATGGGGAGGCCCAGCAAGGGGGCAGAACCTGGCAGGGCCACACCAAGAGTCAGGGCAGAGCTGGGACTAGAACCCACACCTTTCACCTCCTGGTCCAGGAGCTTTCCTCCAAGTCAGGGCTGGAAGAAGGGGAGATTGGGGGTGTCACAGTTCAGTTTAGGAGACTGGAAAGGAGAGGACGTGGGAATCCAGGATTGGGCCAGTCCCTGGGGCATGGGGAAGAGCCTCCCTGTTCCCTACATCCATCTGTCCGGGTTGCTTTTCCTGACCTTTGCCCCCTGGGAAGGGGCCAGCAGGCTCCAGGTGCGGTCGGGACAGTGCAGCGAATAGAGCTCCGGGGACGGGGCAGCCAGCTCCACGTGGAAGCGGAAGCCTCCAAACACATAGAGGGAGTCTGTGGCCTCGTGGTAGACGGCGGAATGACCATAGAGACCTGGGGGCAGAGGGACCCGGCGATGGGGCAGGGCCAATGACAAGGAATGTCCCCACGCACCCTGACCTTCCTAGGCTCCCCTTCTCCATGGCCACACCGCTACCCTACCAGGCCAGAGACCTGGGAGTCCTCAGTTCCTCCCTCTCCCCTCAGCTCAAAGGCAGTCATCAGCAATTCAGGGAAAAGGAGAGGAACCCATTGTCAGGAAGTTGGAACCGATTCTTAGGAGGGAGGGAGAGAGGGTGACTGGAACGTCCCAGGAGACAGTGACTGAAGAATATAGAAGGAGCAATTGAGAAAGGAGAATGTCTGAGAGGCCAGATTTTAGAACCTAGGGGAGGCAGAAGGAGCCCAGGTGGCACAATGCTTAAGCACTCTTCTGCTAACCAAGAGATTGGTGGTTCGAACCCACCAGCTGCTCCATGGGAGAAAAGGCCTGGCAATCCATTCATATGAAGAATACAACCCGGAAACGCTACATGGTCTACTCTGTCCTATGGGGTCACTTTGAGTCGGGATCCACTTGAAGGCACCCAACAACAAAAGGGGAGGCAGATGGTGGCTGCACTGTCACTGGGAAAGGGGGTGGTCATGAAGTCTGGGCGGGGTAAATAGAAAAATACAACATCTCATGAGACAGTGCCCGGGGGCAGAGAGAACAAGGAGGGTGGGCAGTGACCCAGGGTGTGGGAGAGGCTCAAGAGCCTGCGTGAGGCCCTGGAGGACCAGGGCAAAGAAGCCGCCCTCCCTGGCCCCAGCCCCACCTGTGGGGGGTGTCCCACTCTGGGCTCCGGACACCCAGGTGCCAGTCGCCAGCTGGTACTCGAGCAGCTGCTGGTTAAAGCCATTTTCGGGGGAGTAACCGCCCACCAGAAGCAGAGACACACCACGGCGGGCAGTAAGGGTGTGGCCTGCAACTGCTGGTAGCTCCACGGTCTGCGGGGCCTGTGGGAGAGGGAGGAGGTCGCCAGGAGGCCGGAGGGTAGGCGTCAACTTGTGGGCAGCAGGAGACCCAAAGGTCCCCACACTCCCCTCTGACTGCTCAGGAGGTAGTGAGCTCCTTGGATAGGTCAGAAGCCCAGACCTCCAACCAGCCAAGGTCCTGGCAGGTAGACTCCTGCTACCTCAGCCTGCCCTTCAGAGCAGAACAGCCTGGGTTTCTCTGGAAAGCCCTCGGCCCTCTCTCTCAGCCCAGGTGGCCGGTGGGGCTGGCTATACTCTGTTCTAGGCTGTGTCCTGGCCTGGCCGACCAGAGCACCACATCCAGCGCACGAACCACAGCTGGCCTGGGACTAAACATGACCCAGGATGGACCAATGATACTCAATTCTGGGGCCTCTGCTGGAACCCCAGGAGGAAGCCTTGGCCTCTGATGACCAAGCTGGCAGGACCTCCGGTGGCCACCTTCGCAGAGCTGGGTGGTGGGGGTGGTGCTCACCTTCTCCTGCCGCCACTGCAGGGTGGTAAGGTTGAGGACCCAGAAGTCGCAGGTGACACCCCCAGCCGTGAGCCCCCCCAGCAGGTACATGGCGCCACGGCCGGCGGGAACATAGGCAGCCGCATGGAAGGAGCGCGGGGAGGGGCCCGGGCTCCCGTCCTCGGCTCCCGCCAGCATCTGTGTCCACCGGCGCTCACTCACTGAGTACCTGGGGCCAAGACACAGGCAGCGACCACAAAAGCAGCCTCACTATACAGGCATCTCAGTATCCCTTGAAATAACCCCCCAACAGGAATCCCAGTCTCCCCTAGGGTGACTCTCCTCATAGGTATCTCAGCATCCTCTGGGGTGACTCCCTCACCCCACAGGTGTCCCAGCAAACCTAACAGTCATCTTAGCGTCCTCTGGGGCAGTACCACCTAACTGAGTTGACGTGAGTCCCTGGGGTGAGCCTCCTGTGAAAAGTGTCCCAGCATCCTTTAGGGCACCCTCACCTATAGAGGCTTTCCTCCTGAAGTGACCCTTGTGTGACATCTCAGCATCCCAAGGTGACCTTCTCTCATTCAGTCAGTCCTCACCTGTACAGGTTTCCCAGCAGCCCCTGCGGCAGGCCCAGGCCCCCAAACATCCACAGGGTGGCGTCAGGTCCTTCCACCATGGTGTGTCCCAAGCGGTGCAAGAAGCGGCTAGCAGTGTCCTGAGAGGGGGCGTGGTCAAGAGTCAGACTAATGTCAGGACCAAGTGTCAGGTCTGGACTGGGCGGGGAGGGGTTGTTCCTGGGAGTGGAGGTAGAATGATCCAGGAAGACAGGTGGCAGGGTGCTTCCCCGGAGAGTGGGCATCCACAACTCACAGCTGAGAGGCGGCTGTCCATGAGGGTTTCCCAGACAAGCTGCCCACCGTCCAGCTTCGTGGCACAGTCAGGGCCCCCAAAGCCCTCCGCACAGATGCACACGCCCAGGCTCTGGGGACAGCAGCAGGAGGCTCAGGGGGAGCCCGGGTCACACCCCCATCCCGCCTGGCTGTCCGGTCCCACGGTACCTGGTTGCAAGTCCCTGCCCCGTTGTGGGCATTGCAGTTCTCGGGACACAGAGCCATGCGACAGTGTGGGCCAGCCCAGCCCTGGGGGCACCGACAGAGGCCGGTGCCTGCAGCCCCGTCCTGGGGGACGCACTCCTGGGGGACAGGGCAGCTCCCAGGGCCCCCAGACCCACAGCGGGCAGAGCCCACCGAGGCATTGAAGCCCCAGGACGAGGAGCCGTTGGCCTCCCAGTGCAGCACGAGCAGCCCTGTGGGGGGGGGGAGAGGCTGGGGTGAAGCCACGTTCTGGGCACCACTCTGCTCCAGGTTTTGAGAAGAGCCAGTGTAGGTGGGCAGGGAAGCAGGACCCTATGATCTTTTATAATCACTCCTGGCTTATCTGTCCTCCCTCGGCCTTCCCTCGCACAGCCCATATGCATGGCCCTTCCCTTGCACAGCCCATCTGCGTCCCTCAGTTTTACAGCCTAAATCTCTCCCATCCACCCACTGCCTCCCACCTCCTCCGCTGCCACCCAAGCCAGTCTCCCGGCTCACCTAGACACATGCCCGCCTCCCCGCTGGTCTTCCCAGCCCCCCCCACTCCACTCCAAACCCTTCCACACCTCCCTCACACAAAGCCAAGCCTCCCACCTAGGGCTGGGCAGAGGGTGGGATTAATTCTATGATAGGCAAACTATGGGGGCAATGACATTCTGCGGTGGAATTCTCGCCTTCCACGTGTGTATCTGGGATGCTAAACGGGCTTCAGCAGGCACCCAGACCAAGACAAACTAGGAGGTAAGGCCTGGCAATCTACTTCTGAGAATGAACCAATGAAAACCTGACCTATCACAGTGGTCCAATCCACAACCAATCACTGGGCAGCGCTTCATCTTGTTGTTTGTGGGATTCCTGAGTCAGAACCACCCCTCCCCACAGTGTGCCCCGTGCACGAACACAGGATGAGGACTGGTGCAGGAAGCAGCTAGCACTGTCCTGGCAGCTAGCAACAACATATAAACCATCCCTGGATAAACTCTGACTTTCAAAAATGTCTCCTCCCAGGGCCCCTCAGCCCACCACCACCCACTCCCTGCGTCCTCTGCCCTCCCGCTGCCTGCCCGGCCCCTTTCTGTTTCTCCTCAGAGTTAGGTTTCTGCTTTTCCCTCGGCCCGGAGCAGTCGTTGGTCCCCAGCACACCTGCTCAGGCCACCAGGCAAATCTGTTATCCTTAGGTCCTATCAAGTTGGTTCCGACTCACAGCGACCCTACACACCACCCCGTCCTACACCATCCTCACAATGGTTGCTGCGTTTGAACCCATTGTTGCAGCTACTGTGTGAAGCCATCTCATTGTGGGTCTTCTTCTTTCTCGCTGACCTCTGCAAAGCCCCCCAACTCCACAGAGGCGGCCAGGCGCGGCGCCCGCACCTGTCTGCTGCCTCAGCCCTCAGCAAAGGAGCAAATACTGTGCCCCGAGCTGCTTCATCTCCCCACGGGCCTGGGCCTGTGTTCCTGGCTCAGGGCCAGCTCCCCATCGGTGTTCAGTAAACAGCTGTGAGGGAAGCGAAATTGAGGGCACCTCCGTCCTCAGTTGCTCACTGTGAGGGGCCGGGGCTTCCGAGCAACCCACCCCTTTCCCTCCCAGCCCTGGAGCCACTCTGATTCACAACACAAAGAAAATCATTTCCAAACTCTCCCACGGGTATTCACATCACATTTCTGTTAAGAGGACTCTCTCAACCTCTCAGCACTGCTGGCCCTTCCTTTGCTGTGTGGGCTGCCCAGTGAACTGTGGGATATTTAGCAGCCTCTCTGGCCTTCACCCACTGGGTGCTAGTAGCACTCCCCAACACTGACCAACAAAATATCTCCAGACATTCTGTCAAATGTCCCCTGAGGGGCAAAACTGCTCCAGGTCAAGAACCAGGCCCAAGAAGCTGCTAAGGAGTCCTCACACCAGCCCCCTCACTCATACCAGCCCCCCTCATTACCAGCCCCCTTCATATCAGCCCCCCTCACACCAGCCACCTTCTACGTGCCCCAAAGATGTGGTTTACCAGGCCCTTCCCTTCAGAGAGGTCACCCAGCCAGCACAGTCTTCCCTGTTTTCCACTCAACTGAGGAAACTGGCCCAGAGATGGCGAGGGGCAGTGTCACTAGCAAGTCAGTGGCAGAGTTGGGCTGGAACCCAGGTCTTGGAGCCCCCTTCAGGCAGTGACGGATGGGGAAAGGAACACAAAGCCCAAGATGAAGAGGCCCCACGCCCCCGTACCAGACAGGGCTTGCACGGTGAGGGGCCTGTCCCGCCGCTGGCCACAGAAGGCAGCAATGAGGCTACGGTCTGACTGGACGACACCAGTGTCCAGGAAGCGAGGGAATCCATCGAATGCTAGGACATAGCTTAGCTGGAGAGGTGCAGAGTTAAAGATTAGGGGACCATGAACATGAGAAAGACGGGTGCTTAGGATCTGGGAGGAGGAGGAGTTCAGGAGGAGAGGGCAATCCGGGTCTGGAAAACGAGTCGTTTGAGGATCCAGGCCAGGGCTGTCAAACTGTGGCGTTCAGGCCACCAGTCCTCATCCTGTGTTCGGAACAGACATGGCTAATCAATCAGGACTCATGCATTAAGCCTCATTCTCAATACCCAGCTCCAGGCAGCCACCACCAATCGATCAGAGTTGGCACAGAAGGTGAAGCTATTTACAACACCTGGTCGGAGGAAGGGAAGCTGAGGACCTGGAGAATGGGGGACTGCAGTCCAGGAAACAGGAAGTGATCTGAGAAGTGGGAGGGCCTATGGGCTTAAAAACAAAGGGCTCGGGATCTAAGAAATAGGGTTTGGGGTCTTAGGGATAAAAAAATGGGTGTGGGGGTCAGGGTCTGTCTAGGTTGGGGAGATATGGTTCTGGTTCCTGGAGCTGAACCCTAGCCCCCTCAGTGCTTACCGTACATGGGGTACTACTGTCAGGGGAGAAAGTGAGGGTGAGTGGGGGGCACAAGGTCCCGGGGGCACATGGCTGGAGCACCTCGGTGGCTGACACAACCCACACGCAATAGGACAGGCCTGGCCCAGCTCTCGTCGCCCCACCGCCCGGAGGCAGCAGTCCCCCGACCCGGCGTGAGCCCAGTGCCACTGAGGACACGTTGGTGAGGAGGGCACGACCCCCACACTCCCGGAAGCAGGAGCCACCGGCCCTGGGGAGACAAGAGGACAGCCAGCATGAGCTAGCCCCGCCCCGCCACTCTGTCCCCACCTTAGCCCTGCCCTGGCTTGTTGCCAGGCTCACCGGGGGTCCCCATAGTAGCCAGGGGAGCAGAGCTGGCAGTGGGCGCCTTCAGTGTGGTCCTGGCAGAAGCAGAGCCCGCTGAGGTTGTCACAGTGGCCCCGGCGTGGGTCCCCATGCCCGTTGCACTGGCAGGGCCGGCAGCCACCTGAGCCCGTGGCATTCCCGAAGCTGCCGGGCCGGCACCGTTCACAGTGCTCACCCCACGTCCAGTCTGTGGAGGCCCCATCAAGTGGGGTGCAGAGTCAGGGGCAAGGGCAGGAAGCGGCTCAGACCAGCCAGCTCAGCTGATCCTTGACCCCCACCCGGTTGCTTCTAAGGGGGAAACCAGGGCCCAGATTCAGGGGCAGAGCAAGTCCCAAATGGAGGAACTGAGGCCCAGCCCGAGACAGGTGGAACGGAAACCCACCTGGGGGAAGAAGCAGGGAATGGATGGGGCGGGGGGACCCAGAGCTAGAGGAGGGGAGACAAGGCCACCCTGAGATGGAGGAACGGGAGCCCCAAGGGTAGAGGAGGCTCCCAAGAGGCCCGTGATGCAGGCTGGGCCAGGTGTGGGCATCTGGGATGAAGGGACCCTCACCCTGGCACTCATCACAGAAGCCAGGCCCCCGCTTGCGACAGTGGCTGTGGAAGTTGCAGCCACAGTCCCGGGAGCAGCGGGGGGCAGGGGGGCCTGGTGCAGGTGTGGGTGGTGGCAGGTCTGATGTCCAGCCCAGGTCACACACGCAGGTGAAGTCAGGGGGGCCACTGCACATACCATGCCCACAGTCCTCCAGGCACCTGAGGGGCCAGGGTTGGGTTAGGGGAAGGGCCAGGCAGGCATAGAGCCCCCAAAGCACTCCCCCACCATCTCACACCACAAAACTATCACAAGCCTGCCTCCTTAGTCCTGGACTACGCGGGTGGCCCTGTTGTCATGGTAACCTCCTCACACGTGGTAACTCTTGTCTCTGTAGTAACCACATGTCTCCACAGGTGATCTTTTCTTCGTGCAAATCCCTTTTCAACTTGGTTTTCCTCTATCTCTATGGCAACACTGATGTGCACAGCCCGTGGTCTATGGGTGACCTGTCTCCATAGTAACTAACTGGTTTTCCATTGGGGAGCTGGTCTCCACAGACACCCTGCTGCTCTAATGAGGGTCTAGCCTGCAAGGTCAAATCACCAAGCTAACTGGGGATGCTGGCTCCACAGGAAGGAACTCAGCATCCCATTGCTTTACCCCTCCAGATCCAGGCACCCAGCGCCGGGGTGGCATCGCCATGGCAACCCCGCCCACTCACGTGCGGTTGCAGTGCGTGCTGCCGTCGCCCTGGTACCCCCGCTGGCAGTGGCACTCGTAGCTGAGGGGTGTGTTCAGGCAGGCCGCCCGTGGGTGGCACCGTGCCAGGCCCAGGCGACACTCGTCCACATCCGGGCAGCGGGCGTATGCCCAGCGGGCTGGGAGGGCCACAGGCAGCCCCAGGCCCTCCCCAACCCATAGGGAGCAGTTACCCCCACCCAGAGGCCCAGAGAAGTCCCCCTGCAGGCACCTGGGGGGTGAGAGATTGGAAATAAAGGGAGCAGGCGGGAAGGGGAGGCAGTAGAGAAGCAAGAGACAGACACAGGGAGACCGTGAGGCAGAGAGGAGCCAAGGCGAGTGAGAAACAGCAGTGTGAGCATGGAGAGCGGGCCAGGGAGAAGAAAGGGGGGAGAAAGAGAAAGAAACGCCAAGAGGTCACAGACAGACAGAGGGACAGAGAGAGAGAGGCAATGAAGGAGGAGAGAGGGCCAGGAGCAGAAAGACAAGGCAAGAGGGAACAAGCCACAGAGGCAGAGAGAGACGAGGGGGAGAAGCAGAGAGAGATGGCGAGCAGAGGGGCCGGGGCAACAGCAGGAGACGATGGTAAGGAAAACGGGGGACGGGGGAGGAGGCAGACAAAGAGGCCGTTAGATTCTGGGTGGAACCGGCCACACCACCCGTCGCCCCTGCCCAGCAGCCACGCTCACCGGCCCAGCGTGGGGTTGTCCTCATTGCCACACCAGCCACACTCATGGCTCTGCAGACACTCGTGACAGGTCAGGAAGCGGTCACAGCTCCGGCACCGAGGCTCTGAGTGCACGCTGCGGGGATGCAGGAATAGGGGCTCTCAACGGCCGTGCCCCCACCAGCCTGGACCCTCCCCCAGCCCCGCCACACGGGCCGCACCTGTCATCCCAGCCTCGGCAGCCCCCATGTGGGTACCGGGCCAGGTAGGCAGCAAACAGGAAGCAGGTGTGGGTGGACTGGCACCAAGCACACTGGCTGGAGTTGGCCAGGCAGTCCTCACAGGTCAGGCGCCTGGGGGACGGAGGCTGGGGGTCATTAGCAGCCCCTGGCTTGTAGCCCCACATTCACCTGCTCCCTGGGCCCCATGGGACTCACTGGCTGCAGAGCGGGGGACATTCCTCTGGGCTCTTCAGGGCACCTCGGCTCCGGCCTCGCCGGCTGCATGTAGCATCCCCTTTGCGGCTGGTGCTCTGATGCCACTCACAGAAGGGGTCCTGGGGGGCAAAGAGGAGTCAGTGTCACCCCACAGATCACCCCCTCTAAGCCCACCTTTCTCCTGAACTGCCAGCCTCTCTGGGCATTCCTCTCCAGCCAAGGACACCTACGGCTTGTTCCTGCCCAGCAACTAGCCCCTTCTGTTGTCAACAGCACCCTTGCTCCGTGGTCTGGGTGGGGCTGGTATAAACCTTAGGATCCAGAGATGAGGAAGGGGTCACCACTCCATCCCCCACATCCTCAGTGATTGGTTCAGGGGACTGTATAGGATGCAACCAGAGCCAACGAAACATGACTCGGGGGCCGAACAAGGGGTGGAGGACAGACAGGATGGGAGAAGGGTGCTCTCTTTCCACTCGGGACTTGGTGGCTGAGTGGGGGATGCAGGTCTGGAGTCCTTGCAGCTTCCTTCCCACTCACACGGAATGAGCTCCCCAGGCAGACATGGCAAGGAAGACGATGAACGCCTGACATTATCATTTCAAGCCCTGCAGCTGGCCAGGCCTAGAGACCTACTCTTGGGCTCACTGGTTGGTTGAGCCAATCAAGAAAGGTTTCATTGAACTTCCTGCCCTTACAGCCATGAAAGTCCTGACTCCCAAGGGCTCATCTCTCCTGCCTCATCTCCTCTGTTCCACACCTGGCTCTTGCCCTCAGGAGCCCCTCAGCTGCCCATGCCAGCTCCAGGAGCTCCCCTTTCCCAGTCCCCAGTCTGCCCGTCCCAGTGACCTCTGTCCTGTGACCTCCCTTCTCCGCTTCAGCAGGCACCTGGGTGCAGGCGTGGCAGTCACGATGCTCCTCACAGAGTGGGCAGAGGGTGGGCACCAGCACCAGCAGAGATCCGTCAGTCCCATCGTCACCGCAGTGGGCACCCCCCTGGCGCAGGTGGCAAGTGGCGCTGGCCAGGCACCAGCCGCAGCCTTGGTCCGCCAAGCAGCCCAGGCAGGAGGAGTAGGAGGCGCAGGCCGCAGAGCGGTAGGGCTCCAGGAAGAAGAAGGAGATCTCCTGGAGGGTCACATGAGGGTCAGGGGTCCACGCCCCTGGTCGAGGTCAGGAATCAGGACTTAGGTTTGGGGTAGGGGTCAGAGTTTGCGGCTAAAGACGGAGGTGAAGGGTTTGAAGACAAGATTAAGACTCAGGACAGAAAGTAGGATTTCAGGGATCTGCAGACATAAAGATTAGGATTTGAAAGAATGTAGAGATTGGAGGTCAAAGAGTGGAGGGCAGGAAGTCAAGGTCAATAGGGCCAGGGCAGGGGTCAGAACATGAGTTCAGGGGTCAGAGACTGGGATCTAGAAGATTAAAGGGGACGTCCAGACTTTAAGGGCCAACAGTCGAGGTACCAAAGGTCAGGCCCTAGGGAGTCAGGTGTTGGGGGCAGGGAGGCCAGGGGACTGAAGGCCAGGGCCTGGGGGTCAGAGGCCAGGGCACTCACACTGCCACCTGGCACGCCAGTCCGATCCCACAGCAGGGTGAGCTCGCTGTGCCCAGGGCCCACGGAGCCGTTGAGCTGGCCCCGAATCTCCACTGCGTACTTGTGGCCCCGCCCAGGTAGCAGGAAGAGGCGGCCTGAGCCTGGGCGCTGCAGCCGTCTTGTCTCCTTCTCCTGCTGAGCCACCCAGTGCCCCACCTCCTCCTGGGAAGAGGAGAAGGGCCTCTGAGTCCCTTAGACCCCAAGAACCTCCAAGTACCCCCAAACCCCCAGCAAGCCACTTCCCACTCAGGGGAAGGTGACTGGGTAATTCTGACCTTCTCCACCTTCTTCAAATTCCTCCCCAAATTTTGTCCGCAATTGAAAACCTACTCTTTTGGCTCCAGGGCCCTCCCTCCTCCACTAGGCATGTATCTTGAGCCTCTGATTTCCCCCTAACCCTCCCCAAGAACCCCCAAATTTCCCCATAGCCCCACATGTACCACGGACACCCCCCTTGACAGCCAGGCACCCTCACCATGTTCTCTGTGTCAGGGCCACGGGCCATCCGAGCCAGGACGTGGAGCCGCTGGGCCCGGGCCCACACCGCCACATCCTCAGCTCCTGGCCCAGCCGGTCCCCCTGGCAGCAGTGGGTGGATGAAGCCACGGTAGACCAGGGACACATCTGTCTCTGGGCTGGGTGTCAGGGTGATGGTCGTACTGCGGACGATGGAAACCTGCAGCAGCCAGGGATGTGGGGAGCAATGAGGACCTCTCTGGACTGCCCCGAGAGTCCCCACAGTCCTAAGACCACATCAGAGCTCCAGTCAGTCCAACCTCCTTCCCTAATTGACTGAGAGACTGAGGCCTGGGGGGCAGGGCTGCTTGGGGAACAGAGTCAGGACTCAAATTCAGATAACATAATGGGGTCCTAGAGCCCACTCCGACCCCAGCCCCTGCTCCGCTCCATCTCATTAAAACTCCAGGACTTTTCAGGATCTTCCTCCCCAGTTCTCTACCTCCTACTTCAGCCCTTAGACGTCCAGATCCACCATACAAAGTGACACATACATTATATAATTTACTCCACTAATGAAAGATTGGAACAACTCAAGAATGCATCAGTGAGAGGCTGTTTAATTAAACTACAGCACTACAGCATTAAGATATAACCAGCACAAAGAGAAAAATGCACACCCATGTTCACTGCAGCACTATTCACAATAGCAAATAGAAACAACTTATATGCCCATCAATAGACAAAAGGATAAACAAACTGAGGTTCTGCGGTGCAGTGAATTACTTAGTATGGCTCTCTGGCCATGGTCTTTGTGACTCCCACCAGATGACTGGGTGGAACTATGCAAATGTGAGGTGCTTATGGCCCACCAATGGGATAGGACAGCTTGTGAGTAACGTAAAAAAGGTACATGGCACCCTTGTAGGGTGGGACCATGCAAATAAGGTATATGGAGCCCTAATGTGGGCTTGATCAGTTTTGCCATCTTGTTAGGCTTAAAATGAGCCATTCGAGAGGTAGTGAGGGGGAGCTCACTACCATCAAGAGAGAAGAGCCAGAAGTAGAATGTGTCCCTTGGACCTGAGATCCCTGCACTGAAGAGACGGCAGGGAGACAGCAAAGACACAACAGAGAAACGGCAGCAGCAGGGGCGAGAAAACCAAGAGGCTTGCACCAGACAGAGCAGCAGGCTTCCTGGCCCATGGAGTGAGAGAGCTGAGTGCTTTCAGGCTGGAGACTTGCTGGAGGAGTGGGGTAACTCTCTGGGCACCTATCGACAAAGCTAAAAGAGTTTTGTAACACTGGCCCAAGCAGGGCAGAGGTCGAGGCCAGAGAGAAGCGTGTCTGCGTCATGGCTGAAAGGAAGCTGTCCTGATTTGAAGAATTGGAGCCTAAGTTGTTTCTGATCCTGAATTGTAACCTGTTATTTTCCTAACAAACCCACTAATTATGAGTATTGTCTTGAGTTCTGTGTGGCCAATGCAACGAACTATCAAACCCAAGAGAAAAGTAGACTGCCATCAGAGTTGATGTCAGAACTGGTAAAAAGGTTGCGGGGCTGGTATGTCCAAGGGACCAGCCTTGGGCTGTTGATAGTTTTGTGGCCCCTACCTCCCCCTTATGAAGTTAGGGGAGGTCAGAGGACGCTGCTCCCATGTCCTGTCTGTAGGTACATACACACAATGGAATACTACGCAGCTACAAAGAATAACAAGGAGTCTACTGAACATCTTACAACATGGATGAACCTGGAGGACATTATGTTGAGTGAAATAAGTCAACCACAAGAAGACAAATATCATATGGCTGCATTATTATGGAAAGTCAAAAACAGATATACACACAGAAAGCAGAGTTCTTTGATGATTACCAGAGAGGGAGAAAGGACAGGGAGCTGCTTTCTAGATAGTAGACACTTATTACTTCTGGTGACGGGAAAGGGAAGACCAAACATGGGTGAAGTCAGCACAACCTGACCACGGGAAACAAAGACACTAAGAAGGACACAAGAAAAAGGTACCATACTGGTAAATGTTATAACACAGACAATTTTGCAACAGTAAAAACCACCAAAAATGTATGTGGTTATGTAGGTAGATATGGATGCATATAAGTGCGTGTTGTTGTTGTTATGTGCAGTTGAGTCAAACCTGACTCATAGCCACACCTCCTTGGGTTTCCGAGGCAGTATCACCACAGAAGTAGATTGCCCAACCTTCCTTCTGAAGAGTGGCTGGTGGGTTTGAACCTCCAGCCTTCTGGTTAGCACTCAAGTGCTTTAGGCACTACCCTACCAGAGCTCCTATATATGTGCATAGAAAGGCACATTCGAGTAAATGCACATGTGTGCATGGGGGTATCTGTAGGCATATGTGTGCATAGAAAGGCACATTCAAGTAAATGCATGTGTACGTATGGGGGTATCTGTAGGCTTATGTACAAATATGTTTGTATGTGCAGCATATATATCCACATATGCAACAAACCATATAGAGAGCACAGTTACAGAGGCTTCCTAGACAGATCCAAACAACTCATGGAGCTGGTTTACAGGGTTAAAGGCTTGGGGCTATAGTCTTGGGGGACAATTTAGTCAACTGGCACATTGCAGTTCACAAAGATAACATTCTACATCCTACTTTGGTGATAGTGTCTGGGGTCTTAAAAGCTTGCAAGCAACCATCAAAGATACAACTAATGGTCCCATACGGAGCAAAAGAGAATGAAGGAAGTCAAAGGCTCAAAGAAGAAATTAGTCCATGAGACTAACGGCCCACACCAACCGCAGCCTCTTCTATCCTGAGACCAGAAGAACTACATGATGCCCAGCTACCACTACTGACCACTCGGACCAGGGTCACGACAGAAGATCCCCAGACAGAATGGAAGAAAAATGGTGAGCAAAACTCAAATTCCCAAAGTCGAGCCAGACTTACTGGACCAATAGAAAGTAGAAGAATTCGTGAAACTATCACCCTAAGATAACCTTTGAAGCCATTGTTGCAGGTTACCTTTCAACAAAATAATAGATTGGCTTATTAAAAAAGGCACTATCACCCTTGAGTACTGTGTTCCCTCGAACAATGAACTACATTAAACCAAGTGGTCAACATTTACCCAAAAGCAAAAGTGAGAAGGCAAGGAGGGGCAGGGAAGCTAGATCAATGGAAACAGAACAAACTGAAGGGAAATAACAAGAATGCCGATACAACATAAAAATTGTAACCAATGGCACAGAACAGTAGTATAAAAATCGTTAAAGGGGAATCTAATTTGCTGTGTAAACTTTCACCTAAAACACAATTTGAAAAAGGAGAGAGATAAAAGAAAATAAAGCTTGGGGGGGGGGGGGAGGAGTATAAATGGAATACTATGCAGCTGTTAAAAAAGAATGAAGCAGCACAGATGGGGGAAGACAGATGCCAGGCCACAGGAAGATCACCAAGGAACCGGAGAACAGAAGTTGAAAAGAGGCAAGGAGCTTCGTCCAGAGCCAACAGAGAAAGCTTTACCCTAGAGCTGGGGCCCTCGATTCAGACATCTACCCTCCTAAACTGTGAGAAAACCCATTTGTTTGTTTAAGAAAAAAAAAAAAAAATTAGGGTGATTCTGAAGCTCTGTGATGGGACTCTCACCAGGTCACGTGAAGTGGAAAAAACAAAAAAAAGGGAAGTGGTAGTATGGTGTGGATAGTAGGCTATCTTTTGTGCAAAAAAAAATAATGAAATGTCACATTTACTTGTATTTGAACAGGAAGACTGGAAGGACATAAAAGAAACCCAAGTGGATCTTCCAGGGAGAGCTGGAGTGATTGTGAGTTGGAGGGATGTGGGGGCCACTGAGGCAGTGGGGAGTGAGGCAGGTGGGAGAGACTCTCTACCTAAATTTTTCTATCACTGGTTTTTGAACTCTGTGGGTCCATCATCTATTTTAAAATTCAGCAAGGAGTCACTGTGGAAGAGTTTGGCAGTTCCTCAGTAAGCTAAACACAGAATTACCACACGACCCACCAATTCTACTCCTGATTATATGCCCAAAACCACTGAGAGCAGGTTCTCAGACAAAAACTTACACACTTGTTCCCAGTAGCATTATTCACAACAGCCAAAAGGCAGAAACAACCCAAACACCCACCAACTGAGGAGGAACAAAATGGGGCCCGTCCATACCAGGGATTATTCAGCCACAAAAAAGCATGAAGTAACTCCACGAGCCAGGACACGGATGGGCCTTGAAAACACTGTGCTACGCGTGAGAAGCCACACACAGAGGCTACGCAGAATTCCATTTATATGAAATAGCCAGTTATTTGAAATATCCAATTCCACAGAGATAGGAAGCAGATTAGTGGCTGTCAGGGGCTGGGGGGAGCGGGGAATGAGAGGAGCTGCTTCACTGGCACAGGGCTTCCTTTCAGGGGATGAAATGAGTCTGAGCCAATTTGATGGCACCTAACAACAACAGATACTGGTGTTGACTGCAGATGCACTAAACGTCACTAATGGTAAATTTCATATGTACTTTGTGGTTATGTGTCTTTCACCACAATTTTTTAAAATCACTGGACCAGTTGAGATTGGAGGACTCCCCGAGATTAGTGGCCTGAGATAGCCATCAAATCTTGAACTGAAACTAACCTGAGGTCACCTTGTAGCTAAGTTAACAAAATGGCTCAAAAAATAGTGACTTTCACTCTTAAGTACTGTGCTCCTTTAAAAAAATCACCTACACAAACTGCTAGGTAAACCTTCCCCAAAACACAATAAAATATTATGCGGGGAGCGGGGGAGTCACCTTTAGGAGATCAAACGGTCAACAATGACTTTAAAACAAAGATGAAAATGTAAAAAAAAAAAAAAA